AGTAAACATCTGCCTCAGAACATTGAGTCTTTAAGATGTTGGATAGCCATTTGTCTGGAACGGTATAGGGTTTCCTGCCTAGGCAGTGGGTGGGACTAGAAGACTTCCAAGGTCCCTTCCAACTCTTGTATTGTATTGTAATTTGACAGTATCATAGGCATTTTAAAAATAAAGCAATTAATACTGGAAACAACACAGATGTTTGCTATAAACCCCTAAATACTTGTTATAAAAATATTTCAGTTATTTGCAGGTTAAGTTTACTTCACTCAAAGATAATATAGCGAATACTTAATCAAGCTTTCCAGGTGTGAAAAAAATGGAAGGTAAAATGATCGTAATGAAACAAAAATAAAAATTCTTGCTGAACAGGAATTCTGCTAACACAAATTATATAGCATTTACAGCATATTTCTACACAAATCAATCCACTATTATATGATTAAAGAATTGATGCTATAGTAGTATGACATAGATTTACCTCTGTTTCTTCTCCCAAAACATCTTCTTCATTGGCCTCTTCCTCAGCTAAATAATTCATGAGAAAATGAAGTTATTAATTAAAATATTTTTGATTATAAATCAAAGACATACTGAAACCTAGATCTGTTGTCCCTAACCTTTCTGGCATGTAGGACTGGTTTTATGGAACACATTTTTTCCACGGGCCTGGAAGGGGGTGGTGGTTTCATGTGCAAGCCAAATCCTGCACATGCACAGATGGAACCATTACTAGCTTACCTGCTAATTGAACAGTCTGGTTCCTAATAGATCATAGACCAGTACCAGTCTGTGATCTGCCCCAGATGTTTAAATATTATTCTGTCTCCATCTAAATATAGCATTCAGTTTTAACATATTTGTCTTTTTTGAGTTATAGTAAATTGAACTGTAATACTAATTTCTATACTGTACAGTTTAGGGCTTCTATCATTAAATAAAAATCTTTTGGCCAATACTCTTTTTTCAATTCCCATCCAACATTTCAACAACTGCACTGATAGCTGATTTATGTGTTGACCATACGACATGTGTTATTTCTACATTTTCTTATATTTATTATGCAGTGCAGTGGCTTTGACATTTTTAAAAATGAAAGTTTAACATGAAAACAGATAAATAAATAATAAACGCTGCAAGTCATATTTTTAATGTCAATTTGTCATCATCATCCTAGACTTTTCCCGCAGGTGCAAGGTCTGCCTTTTTTAATGTCAATTACTGTATTTTTTGGAGTATAAGATGCACCTTTTTTCCTCAAAAAAGACGCTGAAAATCTGAGTGCATTTTATACACTGAATACAGCATTTTTTGCCTCCCAAAGCCCTTCCCCGTCACCAAAATGGCCGTGCATACCCTTATGGAGGCTCTCAGAGCGCTCCTGGGGGCTGGGGAGGGCAGAAATGAGCAAAAAAACGGGCCGTTTGGGGGGGGCAGCAGCACTCTATAAGCCTCCATAAGGCTATGCATGCAATTTTTTTGACAAAAAATGGGCCTCTTTTTGCGAAAAACGGGCCATTTTGGGGAGGTTTGCAGAGTGCAAAAACTTTTTTTCCTTTTTGAAAGCTCTTTAACTGATTGATGAGAATTACATAGATCCAAGTACTGTGCCAACAGAAACACCTACCTTTCTACTATATTTCTCTCTCTATCCCTCTACCTACCTATCTCTCTCTCTCTCTATCTACTGTATTTCTCTTTTTCTCTCTTTCTATCCCTTTATCTACCTACCTACCTAACTACTCTCTCTCCTATCTATCTACTGTATTTCTTTTTCTCTCTCTCTATCCCTCTACCTACCAACCTACCTACTCTCTCTTTCTCCCTCCCTATCTACTGTATTTCTCTCTCTCTCTCTATTTCTCTCTCTCTCCCTCTCCCTCCCTACTCTCTCTCTCTCTCTCTCTCTCTCCTTTTATCTACCTAGTTACCTAACTACTCTCCTTCTCCCTCCCTCCCTATCTACTGTATTTCTCTCCCTGTCTATCCCTCTATCTACCTACCTACTTTTTTTAAAAAATTGTCTCTTCAAAACCTTGGTGCGTCTTATACTCCGGTGCGTCTTATACTCCAAAAATACAGAATCTGTGAACAAATGATTTTTCTATCTGATTGATCCTGGAAGCTAAATAGTGCTTGGATGGAAAACTACAGTACCAAAGGGAATATTGAGGCTATAGGCTACACTGGGAAGTCAAAAAACATTCCAAAACAATGCAGAAGGAAATGACAGTATTGCCAAAAAACCAATACAATTGTATCTATAGTCTTCTTGAATTCGAAGACATATTTTCTTTATGTCTGCAACGTATTCTATAATTTAGCTCGCTCATTCTCATGTCGGAAGTACCGAGGCGCTTCTGGGTGAAAGGACTAGCCAACAACATCACCGTTGCCCAGGGGATGCCTGGTTGAGGACTCCTTTCATGTCCCTGTTAAGTTGCCCACTGACATGATACCATCTATCTACTCGCAATTGTCCACTTTCCTGCTGAGTCAGCAGGAGTGAATGACAGAGCTCACCCTTATCACGGGTCTCGAACACGAGCCTGCCAATTGTCAGCCATGCGTCCTAACCATGTGAGTCACCACACTTCTATATTGTTTAGTTAAGAGCAAGTCTATTTGATTAGTTTTCAGTTTTAGTTGGAGCCAAACTTGATTTGATGCTTAGCTATTCTGTGGCTTGTACTAAGATGTGAGAAAGGGAACTAAGCCAAATCATATTAAGTCATATGAATCTAGATATATTAGATGAAAAAGTCCCATTATACATGACCCAAACCTATTTTGCAACCCATCTAGAACAGCAGAAACATATTTGGCATATTGTTTAAAATATATTAATATACAGAAGTTTTTTGGCTAGCATGTTCTTCATTTGTTTTTCTAATGCTCCCTTTTAGAACACAAATGATTCAATTATATTTTATGCAAATTGTAAGAAGAAAATATGATTATTCCTAAATCTCATATGCCAGCATTGGAGGAATATTTGGGGGGTGGGGTGGTTGGCAACACCTTTAATGGAGACAAATCAGTGCCAGAGTTGACGAGACTTTTTTGTCAGCATTGCAAAATCAAATCTCAGCTTCTCCATGATTTCTCCCCTGAAGATCAATCCAATATTAGATATCTCCTTTGAGTAAGAATCCTCTTTACAACCACAAAAGAGATAATAATATAAATTCTATAAATCCAATGAGAATAGATAGCACTCTGGATCTGTACATTGGAATGACATTTATGTCTCTCCAAGATTAATCTCAGCATTCAGATTTGTTCAGTTGAATTTGCTGTATTTTTTCAAAAACCTTAATTTTATGTTGTTGCAATGTAATTAGATGAGGAGAAACATGTTCTGCAACAACTATTATAGTGAGTACCGTGTTTCCCCGAAAATACATGTCCCGATAATAAGGCCATGCCACATTTTTCGGGTGGGCAAAAATGTAAGCCCTCCCCCGAAAATAAGCCCCCTGGACAACCCCCCCTCCAGACAGGCAGAGCACCACTCACCGAACTAGTGATATCCCGAAGGCGCCAAGTCGCAAGAATGGGGTGGGGCAAAGGCTCGCGTTGCTTGGCGCATTTGGGATACCGCTAGGTCGATGAGCAGTTCTGTGCTCAACTGGAGAGGGGGGGGTTGCTGGGCGGTTGCTCTCTTGCGAGCGGGCTCCCGAAGAGCCGGGCACAGCCTCAGGTTCGAACAGCTGTGTTGCGCTGTCGCAGAAACACTACACAGCAGCCATGAGGTGACCACGCTCACGAGCAGCCGCCTGGAAACCCCCCTTTTCAGCCAGGTACAGCACTATTCACTGACCAAGGGGTATCGCCAAGCCGCGTGAGCGCCTGTTCACTTCCCTACGGCTCCAGCTGCTTGGTGCCTTCGGAATACACCCCTAGGTTAGTGAATGGGGCTCATGGCTGGAGAGGGGGGTTGTGCGAGCAGCTTTTCCATTCCCCTCTCGCACACCTTCCAGCCTCACGATGCCCTTGTCTAACTTTCCCTGCAGAGCCAGGGCATCTCCACTGCCGCCACCGCTGCATGACTTTTTCTGCAGCTTCCAAAGCACAAAGGTAAGATGCTGAGTCTTCCAGAAGTTGCCACTCTGGGAATACGCTCTATGGTTGTACGCTGTGGGAGTACGCTCTGCCTCAGCCAGCCCACAACCAGAGTGTACTCCCAGAGCGGCCGCTGCTGAAAGACTCGGCTGCATATCTCCAGAGTTTGGAAGCCAGAGAATAGGTTATGCTCGGAGCGCGGCGGCGGCACACTGGCCCTGCAGGGAGAGCTGGGCCAGGGCATGGAGAGGTTGGAGGAGGCACACCAGCTGGGGACAGTACAGGCACTTGCACAACCTCCCTTTCCAGCCGGGCAGAGCGCCATGCACTGACCTAAGGGTATCCCGAACGTGTCAAGCCACGGGAGCTGGAGGGCTTAGCGCTTTTGGGATTATCACTGGGTCCGTGAGTGGCGCTCTGCCCGGCTGGAAAGGGAGGTTGCGGGGTGGCTGCTCGTGAGCAGTCACCTCATGGCTGGTATGTTGTGCTGCTGCGACAGCGCAACACAGCCATTCGCCCCTGAGGCTGTGCCCTGGCTCTTTGGGCGCCCGCTCGTAAGAGAGCAGCCACACGGCAACCCCAAAACAAGAAGCCCCCCCGATAATAAGACCCAATCAATATTTTGGGGGTCAAAAGAAAATAAGACCCTGTCTTATTTTCGGGGAAACACGGTAGATCCTCCATGTTTATTTTAACTATTCTGAGATTGTGTACATTTGTACATTTTAGGGGGTGACACGGGAACGATTTGCATTTTCTTTAGAAAAAAGACTTGTCGTTTACTGTTTTTGAAAATATGGTAATTACTTATCTTTGTTTTACATCTTGTATTCTAATATAGCCTAATGGCTAATTAATAAAGTATTATTGTTGTGTAAATCTGTAATAACAAAAATACAGGTAGTCCTCGTTTAGTGACCACAATTGGAACTGGCAACTCAGTTGTTAAATGAAATAGTTAGTAAGTGAAACTGCGACTGTTCTTATGATCTGATTTCAACTTTCCTTTGCCTTACAGACCTGCAAAGGTCACGGCTGTCACTAAACGAGGATCTGTGTTTTGGCTGAATGGAAAAATGTAGTATGATTTTGAATTGCATTAACACTACTTAAAAATAAATACCACTTGCTAAATAAAGAATATAATTTTAATTTAATGTAGATTTTATTTTTAATCTGTGTTTTTTAAAGTAGTCTGAATGCAGTTTTAATTAAATGACACATTCAAAGTCAACCCACCGAATCTTTTGAATTAAGCCATCCTTTCATGCAGCAATCATATTGCTTCTTTTTTTAGGAACATGTATTATTAAATATGCTTGTCAATTTTGTTTGATCAATTTTCTTAGACCAGTTGTTAAACTATGTAGCCTTTCCTAGATCCTTCCAACCACAATTAAGAATTCAAACGTGACACAGATAAATTTTCCATGGGCAGATACCTGAATCCAGGCATTTTTCGCCAATAACCCTAGAATACACTTATTATCTCACTCAGTTGGGTTTTTTGTTTGGAAAAATTCAGCTGAGTTATTTGCCCTACACCCACACCCAGCACATATTTTCCCTGGATAAATGTCCATTTATTTTTCTTCACTTCATCTTTAGTTTCCGATTGCTTAAAGGTCAAATTTAGAATGGAAGGATTTCTATTCCTTGCGGACAGCTCGTCATTTGTATTCTTTTAGAGAGTCATTGATGCTACTTGGAGGATTATCTCTATCCTCAGGGTCACCTGAGTAGTGCAAATGGGTGTGAAATATTCTTGGAACTGCTGACATGACTATATTATAGACTGGAGATAGATGATGTCGAATCCCTCCCCCTCTGTTCAGTTTTGACATAGAAGGCCTTTTTGACCCTTTCAAATCAGATTTTGAAAGAAAACCCAGATGAACCTCCAAGTGCTTCAATGACCCTCTAAAAGGATGCAAATGTCTGCAAGGAATATAAATTTTTTCATTCCCCACCATCCAGTCAGACCTGAAGAGGCTTTTTTAATGAGAAGCAAAATGTTTTCAAAGAAAAACAAGTCCAGTCGCCTCTTGAAAAAGCACCTTTGGGATAACCATGACCTGGAAGGCTGAGAATCTCCATAGAATTTAAAATTAAACCAATAGCTGGGCACTAGGCAGCTTGGAAACCTACCCAAATTATAAAAACCTCAATGATCAGTAAAAATATATCAGGTAGAACACAGAACCTTGAGGACATTCAAGAGAGCTGTCAAAGCCACCAGACTGGAGATTCCAAAATTAAGCTATAAAGAAGAATGTTCTTCCTACTGAAAAAGTAAGCATTTTAATAGGCTCGAATCATAGTAGCAAGTAATCCCTAATGAACTTAATTCTTAAGAATGCAGCTGTCACCATCATCTTCCTCTCATCATGCCATTATTCATGAAACTATGATATTACATCTATTCCAGAGTTAGGAAAAAGGAATTATACTGGATGTAGGCCTGCAACACCTCCACTAGAAGTAAATATGTTAACATTTCTTGTTGTAACAACCATCTTTTCTACAGAATGCCTGATTACGTATGCTACAAATTAATACTTCAGCCAAGGCAGATCTGACCAAAGAATAGCAAGGAACCTACCATGCTGCTCTAGATATGTCTGGAGTCTGTTGATGAGATCTTGTTTGTTTCCTTTTGCCTCCAGTCCTCGGGCTAAACACTCCTGTTTCAACTCTGCAAGCTGTTTTAAAAGTAGAAAAGATTTAACCTTAATCAAACATGTGATTTCCTATAGACATATAAAAATTAAAGTGAAGCTCTAAAAATTAGGTCATATCAGCCTTCCTTGACAAGCAAAAGATGTGACCTTCAGAGAAATAGGCAAGATTCTGTTACTATACAACCTATTTCAATAAAGCATAGCTATAATTTTCCAGTGGAGCTGTTTTCCTCATCTGGTCTACCTGTAGAGTGGGCACTCCTGCAGGCAGACGCTGTGGTTTAAAGATGACTCTCAAATGTTTACATCAACCTGACCTTGAAAGGAAAGCACCAATGGGAGTGTGAAACCAAGAAAACGGAGGAATTTCTTCAAAAACTTATTAGTCGATGAAGAAACTCAAGTTGGACCCATCATTTTAAGTTATTAGATCGCAGTAATGATACATTAACGATTTTCTTAAGATTTTCATGCTAACAAGCTGCCCGACAAGTAGGCAACCCCCGGATTTCCCATAACGTATCCCCAAAAGCTTTACTTGTTCAACGGGGTGTGTGTGTGTGACAAAAAGCAACATGTTAGCACGCTTGCAGATGGTTTACAATTCCGGAAAGCAAAAGGTTGAAGACAGGGGCGCCGTTCTTTGAAAAGGGAAGAGGAGAACCGCCGTGGAAGGGAAAGGTCATTGGCCAAGAAGGATCAAGTCCGGGCTGGGAGACAAGACTCCAGACGCGCGGCGTGAGGAGAATCCCAGCATCTCTTTCCCGCGCTCTGGGAAAGGTTGACAAAAGCGAACGGAGTGTCCGTTAACCCACCCACCCAAATAGAAGGCAGCTCCCGCCTACGGCCGAGTGGGAGGAGAAGGCCGAGCGCCGCTTCTCCGGGGCAAAGGAAAGACGTGCCCCGCCGCCCAAAGCAGCCTCCATACCTTCAACTTGTGCAGCTCCACCGCCTCCGCCGCCATCTTAATTTCGCCTCCCTCAACAATCCAACTCCCCGCTCTCAAAAACAGCCCCCACCCACCCACGACGCCCCCCGAGAACCCTCGCCGAGTCCCTGGCCCAATCCGAGCCACGCTCTCACTCGAACCCTGTCCTTCCCGAACGTCGACCCTCGCCATTGGTTGGCGGGTGAGGAACCGGATGGAGGGTCAAAAGAAGGGTGGAAAGGAAACCACCAATAGGAAGGAAGTGGCCCGGCCGGAACGGTTGCTGACTAGCGAGGAGGAAGTAGGGACGGGGAGGCGTTAGAAAGCGGCCGCGTCGTTTTATCCGCGGGCGGAAAAAAGAGGCTGCCCGCGGGGGTTTTCTTCTCGTCGTAACAGTGGGAGCCGTCGGGAAAGCTGTCAGGTAGGTAGCTAATGAGGCTGGAGCAGAACTGGGTTGGGGTGCAGGAATCTCTGCGAGAAGAGAAGAAAAAGGATCCTTTAGGCCAGTGGTTCCCAACCGTTTTTTGGCCATGCCCCGCCTAAGCATCTCTAAAATCCTGGTCCCCCCCCCCCGCATATAATTACTTTACTCAAAAAGTGAGCTCTATTCACGTGGAAGAAGCCTAAAAGGCCATTAACTTGGTTTAAACAAGGTTCAAATTACCTCCATTAAAAATCAAATTGCCCCACATTGAGAACCACTGGTTTAGACGCAGCGCCCCCCCCCTCCTTTTGGGCACCAAGGACCGATTTGGTGGGGAGGCGTTTTCTGTAGACCGGAGGGGATATTGTTTCTGGTCAATGCTAGTAAATGTACCAAGGCATTCTGGTGCTCTGCGTTTCTCGATCTCAGGACTGTCTGTGCTATCAGGCGACCTTTCACAGCTGTTCATATCCATTAAAATAGTCCTTAATTGGAGAATGCCACAGTAGTTTTTTGTTTTTTTTAAAGCAACTGTGCTGGAGAAGCAGCAATGAAGTCATCATAGGAGGTGTTTTTATTTATATGTAGAGTCTTTCTTTACAAGGAAGTTATGATGGTGAAATCTATTGGAAGATGCATAATTTTCTTGGTCTGCAGATTCAGAGTGGAAAGAATTTGGGTTACTGTTCCTTCCTATCATAGCAACAGGAAGCTAGGCAAATAACAAATGATTGCTGTCACTGTTTGCTTTGTTCTGCCTGGCAGCTATGGCTCTGATAATAAAAGTAAGTGACTCCCTCCTCTGGGTTTGTTCCAGCTGATAGTGAGGAGAGATCTAGCCCAGGGGTTCCCAACCCCCGGTCCATGGACCTACATCCGGCTGCAGCATGCCAAAACCCAGGCCATGCAAACAAGTGAAGCCCCATCCATGGAATGCAGGCAACATGCAAATCCATGTCACCACTGTGGAAAAACCTCTCTCTATGGAATCAGTCCCTGGTGCCCAAAAGATTGAGGGCCGCTGATCCAGCCCACCACCGTCTTTCATTCCTGTTTTACATCTACAAGAGGCTGCTGGATGAGATCATCTTACAGCATGGAATAAAGTAGGGGTCTCCAACCGTGGCAACTTTAAGATTTGTGGACTTCAATTGCACAGAATTCCCCAGGCAGCCGTAGAGTTCTGGGAGTTGAGGTCCACAAGCCATAAAGATGCCTCGGTTGGAGACCCCTGGGATATGGTATGACGATCCTGATGATGATATCCGGCTTTATATCATCACTATGGTCTGATCTGGTGATGTCCTAGATGCTTGCCTTTTCTGTGGGAAAAGAACCTTGTAAAAGATTTCTGTCAATTAGTGTACAAGCTTGCCATAAATGCAGTTTTATGAGGAAATTATGGGATGTACAAGGATTAACTGAGTGATTCTGAGACAGTATTTTGATTTGGCTCCAGGTTCGTTCTCCCCACCCCCACCCCACCCCAAACTACCAAGCTTAAACGGTGGCTATTCTATGTTTTCTGATGTGCATTCACACACCTAAACCAATAGATGGGTGTCTACATATATACACACCAATGTATCTTTCTCAACAGCATGAATGTTGGAGTAGCCCACAGTGAGATGAATCCCAACACGCGAGTGATGAACAGCCGAGGCATTTGGTTAGCTTACAGCATTTCTGTGGCTGTGCTCCATATCATCTTTCTTAGCATTCCCTTCTTCAGTGTCCCTGTGGTCTGGACTCTAACTAACGTTATCCATAACCTGGTAAGTCTAAACTCTTGATTCTGGGCCAATTTATTGGCCATGTTCTGAGAATTTAGGATACAAATTGACAGCTTTTAATCTTAAATCTAAGTTAAGTTTAAGTTTAATAAATTTATATGCCGCCCAATCCTGAAGGACTCCGGGCGGCTTACATAAAAGACAGTTTAAGAAGTACTAAAAAGTTTAAAAGTAGAAGACAGAGCAGGTTAAAACACAACACACACTCAACTGTAATGGGGCTGGACCTCATTCAGGAGGTCAACAGCCCCAGGCCTGCCAGAAAAGCCAGGTCTTAATAGACTTTTTGAAGGCTGTAAGAGTAGGGAGGGTCCGGATCTCTGGGGGTAGATTGTTCCATAGGGCTGGAGCAGCTACAGAGAATGCCCTCCCCCGAGGAGCCGCCAAGTGACATTGTCTAGTTGACGGCACCCGGAGAAGGCCCACCCTGTGAGATCTTATTGGACGCTGGGAGGTATGTGGCAGGAGACGGTCCCGTAGATATCCAGGCCCTAAGCCATGTAGGGCTTTAAAGGTGATAACCAGCACCTTGAAGCGCGTTCGGAGACTGATCAGGAGCCAGTGCAGCTCGCGGAGGATAGGTGTAACATGGGTGTATCTAGGTACACTCAATATCGCTTGCGCGGCTGCATTCTGGACCAATTGTAGTCTCCGAACGCTTTTCAGGGGCAGCCCCATGTAGAGCGCGTTGCAGTAGTCGAGTCTTGAGATGACAAGGGCATGAGTGACCATTTGAAGTGCCCTCCAGTCTAGGTAGGGCCGCAATTGGTGCACCAGGTTAATCTTGGGAGCCTCCTGTACGGCCTCCCACAAGTGACCACATTCCAGTCCCACTGCGGTTTCATTCACTGTACAATTTATTTAGGAATATTTCCCCCCCAAATAGTTCTGCCCTAGGTGATTTTACACATTTACTGAAAAGTGCAAGAGGTCATTATTTTTACAATTGTTTCAGTTGTATTCTTCAGGAAAGTAAGAAAGAGAGATGGGCGGTTAAAAACTAGGAAGGAAGGAAGGAGGGAAGGAAGGAAGGAAAGAAAGAAAGAAAGAAAGAAAGAGAGAGAAAGAAAGAAAAAGATTGTTACTCTTTTTTTTTTGTTTCTCCCAGGTGATGTATTGGTTTCTCCATACAGTGAAAGGGACCCCCTTTGAAACGCCTGACCAGGGCAAGGATCGCCTACTCACACACTGGGAGCAGATTGACTACGGCACACAATGGACATCCTCCCGCAAATTCTTAAGCATTTCTCCAATCATTCTGTAAGTGTTGGGTAATACTCAGGCCAGCCTTGCTATTAAAATTGCTGCTATAATTGATTTAATGGTTTTATTAATTTAATTATTTGTAATCATTGATAGCAATAGCACTTAGACTTATATACCACTTCACAGTGCTTTACAGCCCTCTCTGAGCGGTTTACAGAGTCAGCATATTGCCCCCAACAATCTAGGTCCTCGTTTTACTGACCTTGGAAGGATGGAAGGCTGAGTCAACCTCAAGCTTTATCAGGATCAAACTTCAGGCTGTGGGCAGAATTTGTCTGCAGTCCTGCATTCTAACCTCTGCACCACCAGGGTTCTTAATATTTTTTACATTTTGCATGTGTATGAATTTGGGCCTCCTATTAGCATGTATTATGTAACATGGTCTCCATATTCATTTAAAATTGGGGGCCTTAGCTCAAATGATTATCAGCAGTTTACAACTTGATTTTCGGTGCAATTATCTTCTCAACTCTTAGTCAAGAATGTATACTTGAAACTGACTTTGAAGTTACCAGGTTTATTGAATCAAAGAAAGCTTCTTGTTTTAAGTCATAAAACTAGTTTTTGCAAGGACTGTATCAACAGAATAACTTGTGCTTTTCCAGACACGCTTTTCTCATTCTTGAGATATTTAAATTATGTAAGTTCAAAAATATCCAAAGCAATCAAATTCACTATTTCTGATGTTATGATGCTCTACCACAAATAGATTTTTTACCAATTATCATGGTAGAAATTCATATTCTTACAACCAGAAAGTGATATATTTGTGAAAATAGAGCTGTACCAATTTTGCTGATCCATAGTACCTGGGAGAAATCTGCAGTTGTCCTCAAGAATGTGAGGACAGTCAGTATGAAAGTTGGAAATCTTTTAAACAAATCCTGTCTTTAGATTGGCTGATTCCCCTAGTCAGAGAAATACTGGGGAGCAATAAGAATTGAAATTATTCACACTCTGAGTAAGACATAGCAACAGGTGCTCAAAGACATGAGAAAGAATGTCCATAGATAGCCAGCAGTCTCTAGAGCCCCTCTGGTGTACTGTAATATGGCGTAATCTGGTGGGCAGAGTAGCTGAAAAAGATTCCCAACTGTTATACAAACTACATCAGAGGTGGGCTGCTCCTGGTTCAGTCGAACCTGTAGTGGCAGTGGGGGGAGGCTCCGCCCACCCGCCCAGATAATTATGTGCAGAAGCATTGCACGTGAACATGAGTGAAGTGGTGGTAAACCAGTTAGGAACCCACCACTGAACTAGATGCATATTTTCATCCAGATTTTAGGTGTTAGATTGAACTACATTTCTTTCCCAGTCACTGTCAACTCTCCATGTTGTCATGGGGACAGAATGAGTGGGAGTGCATTCCACCCAGACTGTTGGCTGGAATGGGTTCTCAGATTACTGCTGCCTGGTTGGGAGGGATGTATCTATTGGATAACGTGATTTATGACACAGACTGAGAGGAGGGAAGGAACGGGTAAAGTTCAGAAGCAAATAAAACAAAGCAAAATTTGACTGTGAACAAATCTTGCCTAATGAAGCTATTAGTAAACCAGTTTTTTGTATTAAAACATTGGCTTGATTATTATGAATCAATTATGGCATTGTTAGGAAACTTGACAGGCACTCACCGGATGTGAAATAATAGTTCCTTTGGTAGAAAAATCCATATTGATTATCACTGATTTTCTAACTCAGATTGAAAGTGGACTAAGGGATTTGACCAAAGTAAGGGGTTTGATTTGCTCAGAAATATCTGTTTCTCACTTATAAAAGTGCGACAAAATGCTGATTGTCTATGAGCTAAATGCTGGACTGCTAATAATTTCATTTTCTTAAAACAGTTAGTCCTTTTTTAATGCCCACAATTGGGACCAACCTCTTGGTCATTAAGCAAAATCTTTGCTAAATGAAACCACAACTGTGCTTACGGCCTTACTTTTCTTTTACAGGCTTGCGAAGGTCATAAATGTGCACATTGTTTGCATAGTTACTTTTTCACCACCTTCACAACTGTGAATGGTTGCTAAACAAGGCAGTCATTAGAGCAAGGACTACCTGTAATGACCGTATTGCAGGACTCTTTCCATCATCTTTCCTTAAAGGAAAATTAAGCAAAAAAAATATATATGGAGAAACTGGAGTGCATATCTGTAACTAATCAAGTATATTTCTTACCTTTCAGGTACATTTTAACCAGCTTTTATACAAAATATGACCCTGTGCATTTCATAATCAATACCACTTCACTCCTGAGTGTCCTCTTGCCCAAATTACCCCTGTTCCATGGGGTCCGTCTCTTCGGTATCAACCAGTATTGAAGCAGAAGGGATCTTGGGACTGCTGAGACGCTATTCTTCCGAAGTAAAACTAGTTCCAAGAAAGTGTGGGCAAAGCTGTGTTTGCATCACCTCGGACTCTCTCTGGAACCAGGTTTCGCTGGGCGAGGCAAGCCAAGCTGCCACTGCTCAAACGACTGAGCCACTGCTCAAACGACTGAGCAGCATGGAGAATTCTTTGACGTTTCTGGCAAGGAGATCGAAGCCACGTTTCTTGTGGTTAGTCTATACTAGGGGTGGAATTCTCTGGTGGAATGAAACAATAGTTGAATTTCACGCGAACATGAGTTCTCTAGCTCTCCCATGTAAAAATTCCTGCTTTTGCTCTTTGTAGTGGGGGACTGGGATCCCTTTCTGCAAGGGATTTCATGTTGCTTAAGATCACCTTCCTTTGATTTGTAAACTTCCCTTCCTTTTTTTTTCAAATGTGGTTGTGCTGCTACATTTCCAGAGTTTTCCCACTCAGGAAAATGAATTAGCCTGCTGTGACAGGTCTCATACTTACGGTTCTAAGTTGTGCAAATAATATTTTGTAAATACTCACGTGGTAGGTATGTATTAGCATAACTTTGTTCATTCCAGTTGAATGCACAGTATAGAGTACTTTGCGCTGCCCCTCTACACACTTCCCCCTTTCAAGTAGTTTTTCCGGTTATAAAGGCATAATGTAACACAACATTGAAGTTGGAAGATGCAAATTTAATTATACATTTAGTCAGTGTTCTGCACTGCTTTTGTTTTTCGTGAACCCTGCTTATACCAGCCCCGTGAAATTATCAACATAAAAAGCTGAAAAGATAAATGACATGGGCAGATCACTTATTTAATCTGTGTATGAACCTTTATTTGTTGTTGGTTTCTATCATAGTTCCCCAGCTTGTTTTAAAAAAGTCCTTATTTTTATAGGGCAGACATCTCTAACCTGCTGTTTATAGGCTAAAGGAATCTCATTTCTTATGAGGTTTCTTCACACATCCATGAAAGTGATCCAATGTTACATCGAGGGAATTGGTTTGAAGCACAAGATGAGCGCTCTGTTTACTGGTATTTCAAATAGCCATCTTTAAAAAAAAGTAAGAAAGGCAGTCAAAAACAAATAAATAAACACAAGCTTATAGTTATCAGCACTTTATAGCTATTTTTTCTGATCAAAGTTTGTGCTAAATATTGAAATGGTGGTTTTAAATTTGCTTCAAAAATCCACAGGGGACTGTACTCTATTCTCTCTCATTCCTTACCATTAACTCTGGAAGTAGCCAATAAAAGTGTAATACTAAAAGCATCCAAGTGGGACTAAAAGTCTAAGTAAGAACTAGATGTGTCAGTATTATGTTAGTATGAAAAGCAATCATGTTTGCACCCACCCTCCAGATCAGCTTTTATAGGCTTATCTAGAAAATCGGTGTTTCTCAAACTGGGCAACTTTAAGACATGTAAACCTCAACTCCCAGAATTCCCAGTTGAAGTTCACTGTACCAGAGTTGAAAGGCCAAAGGGGAAATAATGACTTCAACGATCATCCCAATTGGTGTTCCTTCAGTCAGACACATACTGAACAGATAGAATGAAAACCTAACACTAATCTTAACCATAATGAAGGCATCACTGCTGAAATTTTCTATAAAGTTCTAACCTACTACTAGCCCCTGTATTTTTCCTGGTTTTAAACCCCAAATTGCTGTGGATTGGAGGCTTCTGTCTGCCTTGCTTTAAGCCACCTCTGGAAAAGTTGCTCCTTCACACAAGAAAGCAAGCAAAAGGCTGAATGAAGCTGCCCTTTCCCATTTCATCTCAACCCATCTTAAAAGCAGACTGTTCCTGCTCTGTCCTCCTAGATTGGCTATTTAACATTTTGATGATCTCTGCCCATCTTTTAACTCATACCTTTGAGGATGACATTTCTCCTCATTTAGTGTGCCCTTGCAACAATCATACACCTCCTGAGCTACTCCCCCATTTTGGAACAGTGTTTGCCCGTGCATCCAAATTGCTCCCTCCCTCCTGGTTTTTAGGAACACTTTCAAAAAATATAGGTCTTGGAGGCTGGAATGCTACAATCTGTTCCCTCCAGCAATAGAAATGATCTTTTGCTTGGTGGTTGAATTAAATTCTGGTTTATTTCTTACTGTGTCCTGTTTTAAGCATTGTAATTATTGCTATTTTACTCTAATGTGTACTGTATGTTTTTAATCCAATTTACAATAGTTGGGATGTATGCTGCTCAGAGTTGATTAGAGCAGCTTATAAATAAAATTAAACCCAAAGAGAAAATGTTTGGCTCCTTGTGTTGCTGTTTTTAACCTTGCCTAACACTTCTCAAATGAGAGAAGCAAGACATCTTGGTATGCCTTCAAAAATGAGGAGCATTAATTCTCTGAGTCCGAATGCAGAATAACAGTTGGAAGGGACCTTTTAGATCATCTAGTCTAATCCCTGCTCAAGCAGGAGACCATATACCATTTCTGACAAGTGGCTGCCCAGTCTCCTTGAGCGTCTCCAATGATGAAGCTCCCAGGCAAGCTATTCCATTAGTTTATTGTTCTTACTGTCAGAAAATTTCTCGTTACTTCTAGGTCAAATCTCTCCATCAATTTCCATCCATTATTCCTTGTCTGGCTTTCAGATGCTTTGGAAAATAGGTTGTCCCCCTCCTCTCCGTGACAGCCCTTCAAATGTTTGTTATGTCACCCTGGTCCTTTTCTTCATTAGACTAGCCATGCCCAATTCTTGCAACCATTCATGTTTTAGCCTCCAGAACCCTAATCATCTGTGTTGCTCTTATTTGCACTCTTTCTAGAATCTCCACATCTTTTTTATAGTATGGTGATCCCTCTGTTAATGCAATTTATAGCATTGCATTGGCTTTTTGGGCTGCTGTTGCACACTACTGGCTCATATTTAATTGATTGTCTACTAGGACTTCCATGATCCCTCACAGTTACTGCTATTAAGCCAGGTTTCACCTAATCCAGCGATGGCTAACCTTTTTGTCATCGCGTGCTGAAAGTGCACACCCATAATGCAATGCACACACAACACTCCTCCCTGTGTGTCCCGCCCCCCCTGCACATGCATTTGCAACCCCCTGTGCTCCCTGCACATGCACGTGCAACCTTCCATGCCCCCCGCATGTGACACCCCCCCCAAGCCGCATTTTGGACCTTACAGACCTCCCTGAAGCCTCCTGGGACCAAAAAATGGGGCTCAGAGGGATGCAACCCCCCATGCATGCATGCACATCTATATGCACAGCAGACCCAAAAATCAGGAAGGCACATACACATGTGAGGTGGAGCTGAGCTGGGGCAATGGCTCATGTGCCCGCTGAGAGGGCTCCAAGTGCCACCTGGGGCACACGTGACATAGGTTTCCCACCACAAACCTAATCTGCACATGTACTTTTGGTTTTTCTTCCCTAAGTATAAGACTACTTTTCTGCATTCAAGTGTTCTGTATTCAGTTTTCAAATCTGTTGAGATCCATCTAGGGCAGCGATGGAGAACCTTTTTTGGCTTGCGTGCCATAAAGGGGGGAGTGCAGGGGAGTCGTGTGCGGGCATGCCACACCCATAATGCAACGTGCGACACCCCCTAGTGCGCATGCGTGCATCAGAGGCGCTCCCCCCCCTTTTTGCATGCTTTTTTCACCCTCCCCAGGCTCCAGAGGCTTTATAGGAGCCTGTGGAGGGCGAAAACAGCCCCCTCCGAGACCCCTTGAAGGCTTCAGGTACCTTCAGGAGGCTTCCCTGAAGGCTCCGGAGGGAAAAAAACGACCCTACGAGCAAACTGGCCATAGGCTCGCCATCTCGGATCTAGGGTGTTGGCTATTCCTGCCAACTTAGTATCATCTGCAAATTTGATAAAAATTCCCCTATTCTCTGATCTAAGTCATTTATGAAGATATTGAAGAGTACTGAGCTAAGACAATCCATCTGGTGGTGACATTATCTATTTTGTAGCTTATCAAGAAGTAGTTGTGATCTACTTTGTTGAATGCCTTACTGAAATCTAAATATACTATGTCCACAGCATTTTGCTAGTCTACTAATTTAGTCACTTTGTCAAAGAATGAAATAAGATTGGTTTCACATGTTCTGTTATTAACAAACCCGTACTGACTTCTAATTATAACTTTTGTTTCTAGATGTTCAGAGAGATGTTTTTTGATTATCTTTTCCAGTATCTTTCCAGGTACTGATGTTAGGTTGATTGGTCTGTAGTTCTGTGGGTTTGTTCCCCCACCCCTTTTTTGAAGATGAGAATCACATCAGCTCTTTTCCAATCCTCAGGTAATTCCCCAGTGCTCCAGGATTTTGAAAAAGGGGTACAGTGGTTCTTAAGAGGACATCTGCCAGCTCCTTCAGAACTATGGGATGCAATTTGTCAGGTCCCAGTGATTTATATTCATCAAGATCAGACAGGTGTTCTCTTAACATTTTCTTGCTTATTTTAATTTTTATTTCTAGTCTGCCTTTTGCAGTTATGTTTTTGGTAGGTTGGGCTAGTTTCTTTTTGCATGAAGACTGATGCAAAGAACGAGCACTCTGCTTTCTTTCAACTGCCTGTTACATCCTTGCTATCTTCTCTCTTTAATGGACTGACCGTTTTTTCTTATTTACATGCTGAAACTTTTAAAACTTATTTTTGACTTTTATTGCAAATTTTTGTTTATTCTGAGCCTTTGCCTTCCTGACTTCATTTTTGCAGATACTATCTGCTGCTATTCTGCCTTAGTTATGTGTCCCCCTTTCCATTTTTTGTACATATCCTTTTTGTCCTTCTGTTCATCAGATTTTTGTGCAACCATGCTGGTTTCTTCTGGAATTTCTTGTTTTTCTTTTTCAGTCGTAGTGCTGGACTTGGCTTTTATTATCATATTTTTCAGATTTCCCAAGCTTCTTGGTTGTTTCCCCTTTTAGGGTTTTGATCGAAGAAATCTTTCCCAAGCTGTGTTTGTTAAAAATCAACTCTTTTAAAATCTAAGGCTCTGGTATGATTATGTTCTGTTGCTTATGTTTGCATTATATTGAAATTCAGTATGGCGTGGTCACTCTCACCCCAAAATTCCTGTAATTTCAACTCTCTCTCTCACTTCTCTGTTAGTAAGAATTAAGTACAGTATGGCTGTTCTTCTAGTTCCCTCCTCTACCTTTTGGACAACAAAGTTGTCAGCTAGGTTGGTCCCAAGGTCCATTATGGTTCCTGTCACTAAACAATTCTCTAGATGTAGTATCTCTTTCTTTATATGTAGTCTGTCTGAAATCACACTTTTTCAGTGGATGAAATACGTCTTCGGCCTCTTTCATCCACTGCTACACAGCATAGTACCAAAAAAGGAGAATATTTGTAGCTTGGGGTTGAAATGAAGGATCCTTGGTACTCTTTGAGCTTGGTTGATATTTTGCATCAGCACTGATATGTTACCCAATTTTGGAAATGAAACGTCTGCAAAGAAACAGCCAAGCTCAAAGAAGAAGCCCCTCACACAAATAGTCTATATGCTGTAGGAATCTGTGACCCGGCTTTCTCTAAAGCAGTGGTCTCCAACCTTGGCAACTTTAAGACTTGTGGACTTCAACTCCCAGAGTTCCTCAGCCAGCTTTGCTGGCTGAGGAACTCTGGGAGTTGAAGTCCACAGGTCTTAAAGTTGCCAAGGTTGGAGACCACTGCTCTAAAGCATACCAAAGCTATAGCACTCCCATTCTGCAATGCTCCAATGGGATTCTCTCTCTGATAACATTTTCCTAAGTACAAAACCAGATGTTGGATGGCCAATTCCTGTTTCATTGGAGCCACTCCCAATGCCTCTTTTCGACACAGCCATTGTTATGGTGAATAGCTTTAAGTGGGGCTTTCCCAAACGTCCCTCTACTAGGGAGGTGTCCATAGAATCTAGGGGGAGTGAGAGGGACCTTTTAGTTGTACATTATTACAATAAATCCATCTTTTCAAAAACTTCATTGTATTGTTTCCATTGTTCATTTTGATGTTATTTTCTGGGAGGTACTAGGTACTACCGTGTTTCTCCAAAAACAGGACCCACCTCAATAATAAACCCAACACTAATTTTTTGGGCAGTGGGCCTAATATTACCCCTACCACAAAAATAAGCCAGCAAAAGTGGCAGGGCGGGTGGGACAGCTGTCCGGCTGCAGTGCAAATACCATTTTTTTTCTGGGTGAGCGCTTCTGCTTGTTGGGCCACTTCCCCGAAGCTGGCAGCTTCATGACCAGCTGCTTTGTTTCCCCCCCCCTTTTTTTGGGGAGGTTCACGGGAGGCTTTTTGGCATTCATATATGCTGATTCTATGAATCCATGATTCTCACGGGATCAATTTGGGGAAGTTATCGCTGCCTGATTCAGTACTACTGACTGCTACGACACCCAGCGTTTTGATTTTCAATGTTCTGTGAGATTGAATTTTGATTTTCAATGTTTTGTGACAGTTTCCCAGTCAGTCTCGCAATCCCTTGCTCTTTTCCCCACCCAAGCAGCAACAACCATCAAGCAGTAAACAATAGCCTAATCAAAGAACCACTAAGGAGAACACAGCCCCATCAATACTGACAGGGCAAGCTATTGTTTATAAACAGAGAGCAAACCCCTCCCCTTTCTAATATCAAAGACTTACCTAGTTAGATAACCAAACATCTGCAACCAACCAACCAAGTTCAGAGAGTACCAAGTACTCCAGAAATCTTAATCCATGAACATCTGGTTATTCTGGCTCTAAAGAAATCTTTGCACAGCTAGCTTAAATTCCCCCGATCCAAAAAGTACTTGTGGTGATAAAACTATTTTATACAAGAAAATAGTGCTAGAAATGCACAAAATTATTTCAAAGGTGATCACCAAAGAGAGCTACCCTATAAAGATGAGGCTGAAGGACATTTCTATTTTAATTTCCTGCTTGTCCTTAAGCATTACTCTTACTAATCTCGCTGCACTATGTACAGAAAAAAACAGAGGGAATAGGGGCAGTGTCAATTAACCCAGAAGTGACCACTGTTACAGCAGATGATAGGCATTGGCAGCCCAGCAGAAAAATTAAAATAAAATTAAACATTAAACCATTCATGGTGGCTCTCATTCAATTGACATCCCAGGGTTGTTTTTACACCAAATAGGAAATAACGAGAAGTATCCACTGACTGGCCACCAAAATAAGGTATTGTATTTTTCGCACTACAAAACGTTCTGGACTATAACACACATTAGCTTTAGAGGAGGAAAACAAGGGGGGAAAAAATCTGCCTCTTCCTCCCAGCATCCATCCGGAATTAATCTGCCTAACATCCTTGAAGCAAACAGCAAACAGAATGGTCAGCTTCAGAATGTTATCGCAGCCCCAGCAGGTGGATTGTCAAGGCTCCACCCTGTTGCACTCACCACCGGTCAACTGAGCTGAGCTGCTGCTGCCGCCAGGAAACACTAGAGCCTTCGCTGCTGACTGGAAGTTGGATTAGCCACCCTGAATACCTCCAATCAGCTGTTCTAGGTGGCGGGGATCGCTGCCATTTGCCACTGATCACCATGTGGCGATCGGAGGTAAATGGTGACGGTGTTTGGCCGCGATGGTGACCCACCTAGAACAGCTGATTGGCAGTATTCTGGGAGGCTGATCCAACCGCTAATCAGTTGCTTGGCAGCAAAGGCTTCCGTGTTCCCCAGCGGCGGAGAACCAACTCCTCCCCTCCCCCAAAATATTCACTCTATAAGATGCATAGCCATTTACACTTTTGGAGCGGGGGGAGTGCATCTTATAGTGTGAAAAATACGGTAACTCAGATGTTGTTCCAAATATATGATTATTGGCAAATCAGGCCTGGTCTTGATGTGCTCTCCTGACTGAAAGAGAATTAGTAAGAAAATAACTTACCTGCATTTAACATCAGATGTGAGTCTATTTTCTACCGGCATATGTTAAGCATAAAGAAATCAGACTTGTCACTTAGCATTTTTAAATCTCTTGATTTACAAAGCCTTTCTCAGAAAAGCAATCATGATAAAAAATTTTTCATTTTGAACCCAAATTATATCTATTTTAAAGCTATATCAAATACACAACATAGCAGGAGCAAAGATGGGATTTGATTTTTGATATTTTTTTTGGCTTTTATTTATGCTTTTTAAGGAATACGTCTATTTTGTTTTCAGTTCTTTCATTATGAAAGATAACTTTGCTATACAGAACTCACACACACAAAGTAACAAAATCCCCAACACGAAATATTATTCCTCACAAAGTCCACACTTTATTTTTTAAAAAGTGATTATTTGGGTTCATAAAAGGGTTAAAACTTAATATATATAATATGTGCAACTGTAAACAGATGTATGGGACAAGGCGTCAAATGCGGTTATACAGGCAGAGAACTTTAAAAATTTTTTAGCTTCAAGACCAGGTTATAGTTTATATAAAAATTAAAAATCGTATAGTCTTTTTCTTCATCAGCTAAAATCTACAGAATTATCTTAAACTCTAACCGTCATCCCAAAAAATCTTGACAATCTATTATATTCAGTCATTTTATCATCTTTAAAATCTCTCTCAAGCTTTTAAACCTTTGTATCAATTCTTTAAAATTTATTTTTTTTTACATCTTTACAGCCTTCCAAATTAATGGAAAGACACACAAAAAACAAAATCCAAAGAGACAAAAATGTATACTGGCTTTAACTCAAACCTTTATTTTAAAACAACGTCCAGTGGTTTTGTAAATGATAAAAATTCCCCCCTTCTCTACACAAATGTCATCTTATATACAGTTTTAATTACTTTAATAATCTATCATTACCTCCTACTGTTTTGTAACCGTCATAGCTTAGATCGGTTTTGCAGAAGCAGCTTTTGCACTCAAGAACATGGTTCTCATCTTGCCACACTTTTTTTATTTATTTAAAAAAGACACTTTTGCATGCTAACCCTGATTTTAATACCCCCCTCTTGTCCTTCTTCTGACTTCGACTATGCACACGTTCCCCTCTGCACTGTCTGATCGATCATCTGTGAACTGTGGTCGGTTAGATGCCACTCTTATGGGCATATTGGAGGATGTGTGTGTGTTTAGAAACCGGAGAAGGAAAGTGGTGCAGTTGTGCGTTAAATGATCTGAGCGGTAAGAAAGCCTTCTCCATCAAGACCCTCTGACGTTTGCTCCTCTCGTGTGTCAACTTCAGTTCAAGGGTTACAGCAGTCTTCCAGAGTTTCATTCAGCAGCAGGGAGAACGCGTATCATATTTTAAATGGTGAAAACACATTTCTGACGGTCTCACCTGTATAATGCCCATAGTTTGCCTTCGGTTCATAAGAAATTTCCCTATTTGGGGGGGGGGGGAGGGAGATGCTGCTGGGCAGATGGCTCTTTAGATACTGGTTATAAACTGATTTTTTTTCTTATTTTTTTTAAAAAAGGAAAATATATATGTATATACAGAGGAAGCATAGAAACAAGCTCTTTACACGCTTCCCACCCAAAATTCTGCAAATAAACAAGTTTCTCTCTCTCTCTCTCTTTCTCTCTCTCTCCCGTAGTTCCCGTGCACCCCCCCCCCCAATGGAGTGGGAGGGTGGGGAAGGTTCTGCAGAGATCCACCCAGCAGTCCAGAAAAACCCTGCAGGCAGGGTGTTCCTCCCCATGCTATTTCAAATATATACACAATATATTTATATATTTATATATATATTTATATATTTATTTATTTATATAAATAGATAAATAATCCCAAACTCTGCAATGTGCCCACATCTCTCAATCTCCTCCGTTTATATATATATACAGACATAATTATACATCCACACTCGCACGCATCCACACTGTGAGCCTTCAGAGCAGCAAGTTGATCAGGGGAGAGGAGAGAGGGAACCGGACTGCCTCTTTTACTGGAGGGGGACATGAGTCTTACTGGGAACCAGCTCTCTCCCATCTGACACTGTCAAGAGTTCACCAGTGCTAACCCTTTCCTTCTTCATCCCATGAACATTTCCCTTTTCTGGCCCATGGGCACAAAGATATCTCGCCTCTGGTTCTATCGACCAAGCAGCTCTGCTGGGTATGGCCTCAGGTGACCTGATGTTCTCTCTCCTCCTGGCATAATCAAGACACCTCTTGCTTTGCAGTGCATCTGGCTCTTCTGCTGATGGATGGGGATTCCCAGCGCTCTGCGGTTCAGCCTCTCAAGAAGTCAAGGAGACTGAGGGCTACCTGGGGTTGAAGGGAGACCGGGGAGAGAAGAGGAAAAAAGGCAAAGGACAAGTCCAGAAGAAGACATTTCTCACCTCACCTCCGAGTAATTTCCCATGGATGACAGGGCAACTGTGGCTCTCCTGGGGCTCAATGGGCTCACATTAGAGAGAAGCAGGGGGGAGAGAGAAAGACACCAAAATCTAACGCTTCAAATGAGGTAGGTTCAAGTGCAGATGCTCCTCGCACATGGAAGATTTCGGGGGCGGGGTGGGGTAGGGCCAGAGACGGGGACGTTCTGTTTCCAATTCCTGCAAGGCAGTGCCTGCTCTCTCTCGGAAACAGACCGATTCCAAAAAGCACACATATGTACACCCGCACTCACACACAGTTTTAAATCCAACACCCAAAAGTAAAGAAAATCCAGAGGGAGGCGCTCTGGAAGGTGGATTGTCAAGCTAAAACAAGTCTCTTTGAAGTCTCTTGTTACCTTGGTAGATTAGCAAGCAATAGAGATTAGGGTTGTTGTTGTTTTTAATTCTTCTTGTGTCCAACACGCACACACACAGAGGGGGTGGGTGGGAGGAAACCCTACAAATTCTTCCCTGGGGCTTCCGTAGCCATGCTGCAGCCCTCTTTCCCCAGCTCTGCTAGACAGAATGCCCCAGGGCTCTCCCCACCCCACCGCAGTATATTTCTGATAGTCCATTATATACAGGTGCACAGGGGTAGAAGAATCCCCATTTTGCCCGCAAAAGAAAAATACTAAAAAGAAAACCCTGAGTTCCAGTTTATCCGTTTTCCCACCCCGGGTGGAGTTGCTAGCGATGGCTGCCTTTCATCGGGGGGGGAACGTCGGTTTGCCTTTGTCAAGAAGCAGGAGGCAACTGAACCCACCTGCCAAAAGAACCAACTCGATGTAAACCACCAACGATATTGGCTTGCAGGGGCAGGTAGTTCTGACATCGCCCCCTTTTAAATCTGGGTCCCGGCTACCCCACAAGCATGTTGGGATGGCAAGTTCCAATCATGCTTTCCCTGGGTGGCTCTTGACCACACTGGCTGGTTGGGAGAGTTGGCAGAAAAGGCCTCTCTCGCCCAGCCGAGGGCACCATGTGTGCCAGGCTATCAGGTTGGCCTCTGCCTCGTCAAAGAGCCCCTTGGGGCTAATTCATCCACTTCCTGCAGTTCCAGGCTCCACAATGGCACGGGATTTTGTGCTGATCGTCTTCAAAGTCAAACTGGTAATCATATGTCAGCTGCAGGAGAAAGAAACGAGAACAGAGTAACTCAGGCTTAATTCAGTTTTTTTTTTTCTGGCACACTTATAATGCAAGGTAGCCCTCGACTTAGGACCATAATTGAGCCCCCAACTTCTGTTGCTAAGCAAAACATTTGCTAAGTGAATTATGCTCCATTTGATGAGCTTTCTTGCCACAGCTGTTAAGTCGATCGCTACAGTTGTTCAGTGAGTAACATGGCTGTTAAGTGAATCTGGCTTCCCCCACTGACTTTGCTTGTCAGAAGGTCATAAAAGGGGATCCCATGATCCCAGAACTCTGCAGCCATCATAACAAATATGAATCTGTTGCCAAATGTCTGAATTTTGATCATATGTCCATGGGGAGGCTGCTATGGTGAGAAGTGTGAAAAATGGTCATGGGTCATTTTTTCTCCAGTGCCGTTGTAACGTTGAATGGTCACTAAATGAACCGTTGTTAAGTCAGCCATTTTTTAAGCGTTCCAAATTTACAACAGCACTGAAAAAAGTGACTTGAGGCTGTTTTTCACACTTACGATTGTCGTAGCATCCGTGTGGTTCGCGTGTTCAAAATTCAGACACGCTCGGCAACCAGCCTGTGCTTATGACAGATGCACTGGATCATGGGATCCCCGTGTATAAACCTTCCCAGCCGGCTTCCATCAAACAAAGTCAATGGGGGAATGGCTTTGCAGCACGACTGCTGGCCACGGCACAGGGCTTCAAATGGCCCCTCCCTTGTGGTGATGGCCCTGGGGCTGAGGTGTGGGATCAATGGTGGCCAGTTGAGGCTGCTGAAGGCCCAAGACTTCTCCTTCAGCCCCAAGACCCCACCTCGAAGTACTGCTATTTAGGGTGGTGAAAAAGTCAGGTGTGGAGAGGGGAGGAGATACTGCATTTTTCTGAGTATAAGACGCACCAGAGTATAAGACGCACCAAGGTTTTGAAGAGGCAAATAAAAAAATAACAGGTCCGGTTTTTGACAAAAAAATATATATGCATGCATAGCCTTTAGGAGGCTTATAGAGTATTCCTGGGGGCTGGGGCGGGGGGGAGGGAGTGAGCAAAAAACACTCCGTTTTTCACTCATTTCTGCCCTCCCCAGCCCCCAGGAGCTCTCTGAAAGCCTCCTACAGGCTCTGCAGGGCCATTTTGGTGAAGGGGCGGGATTTTGGAGGCAAAAATTGATGTTTTCAGTATATAAGACACACCCAGATTTTCAGCCTCTTTTTTAAGGGAAAAAGTTGCGTCTTACACTCAAAAAAATATGGTAGGTGGTTGGGCGGTAGTCGAAACACCCCTCAGCCATAAGGGCTTGCAGGCTGCCAGCACCCAAATCTTGATCACATGACCACAGGGTTGCTGCAACAGCTGTAACTTTGGGAATTGGGTTAAGCTTGTTTTGTTCAGTGTGACGGTAACTTTGAATGGTTGCTGAATGAATGGTCATAACTCGAGGAATACCTAGATGTTGAAAAAAGTCCAAACATTTCAATGGGTGTTCCCCCCCACACACACACTATAAACATCTGTCAGACAGGCAAGGAAAGGAATGAATGCAAGCACATAAAATGAGGTATTCATAGCTCCATTGTCTGGAATAAGCAAGCCAAATAAAGCCTTTGTGGAGCATTAAAACCAAAATGAAATAAGGTGTAACTTTTTTTAAAAAAATGTGTAACTCTCTTACTCATTTAGGATACCTATGGGACTTACCATTTTAAAGCAATGTATTCATTATGGGAGAAAGACAGAAAACTTTCTCTAAAGGATAATATTAAGGGAATATAATGTTGAAACCTTGTTGAAACTTAACAGATCAGTTTTGTCAATATATAAGTGAGAGATCACTGGAAGTGTGTATGTTCTAGATTGAGTTGAAGAAGAATTAATGAAAAATAGAATGCTCTAAGTAAAAAAGATCAGTGTACTAGAATATGAAATCTCCCGTTATCATCAAACAGGCATTTTCTTTGTAACATTTTAAGGGAAATTATGCACCATATAGACAGTCCTCAACTTACAATGGCAATTGAGACAGGCATTTCCATCACTAAGTCATGTAGTTGTAAAGTATAACTGTATCGCTTAGTGATGACAATTCCTGCGATCCTGGTTGCCATTGTTAACTGAATTCCACAAAAGTTTGATGAGGCAACTTCCAGAGGCAGTGGGGAAGCCAGCTGGAAGTCCATGGGCCAATAAGTGGTTGCCGGTTGAGGGAGAGTACAAAGGGTGTGTGTGAGTGCAGGGAATGGTGAGGGAGAGTATACAAGAGGCACCACATCGGTCAGGGAGGCTGTGGTAGACACAGGGAGAGTTGGGGAGGGTCAGGGAATGTGTGCAAAGGTGTGCCTGAGAGGAGTTGCACAGGTGGGGAAGGTGCAAGTAGGTATGCCTGAGAGGTGCAGCCTGGGTTGGTTTGTCAGGAAGGGTGTGCAAAGGTGTGAGAGGTGTCACGCGGGTTGGGGAGGATGCAAAGGGATGGCCAAAAGGTGTGAGGGGGTGCATGAGGGGGTGCATGAGAAGTGCGGCGCAGGTCAGGGAAGGGTTCACAGCAGCATGTGAGAGTTGCAGCGCAAATCAGGGAGAGTGCCTGGGGTGTGTGTTAATAGCTGGTGCGGCATGAGTGCAGAAGGGCTATGCAGCAGATGGAATGAGCAGATGGGGGAGGCTTACCCCAGGAACATGTGACCTTCCCTGCCAGCATCTCCATTGACTTCTAGAGAAGTCAGCAGGAAAGGTTGCAAATGGTAATCATGTATTTGGGAGACGCTTGGCAACCAGTTGTACTTGTGAATTGATGACCAAACATCCAAATTGCCTTCCCATGACACGTGGGTGTTGGGATAGCTGGAACTCCGAGGACCAGTTGTAAACAGCATTTCTTCAATGCTGCCATAATTTTGAACGATTGCTGACTGAATCGGTTGCTGTCATAGGGCAGCACGTTCCTGCACATTCATTGTTGTGCTGTCTGTGTGTACAATAATCCAATATTCACCTCCTCTCCTTTGGGTATTCGGCGACTTGAGATGATGATGATCTTGTCTTCCTTGTCAAAAGTCACAACCTCAGCCACACAATTCGGTGCACAGGAATGATTAATGTACCTTGGAGGGGAAGAAGAAGAAAAATCATGCAAGGGGGCCCTGGGTTCTTCACCGAGGAGACCCATTCCATGAAAGATCAAAAGAGCTCAGCATGGAATTTTTCAGAACATTCTTGAAACTCTGGAATGGTGCTTGTTTAGGCTCGTTGTTCCAGGATTCTGGCATTCTGAGCCGCGGTAGCACAGTGGTTAGAATGCAGAATTACAGGCTGCTTCTACAGACTGCCGGCTGCCAGCAGTTCAAGTGTTACCAGGCTCAGGGTTGACTTAGCCTTCCATCCTTCCAAGGTCGGTAAAATGAAGACCCAGATTATTGGGGGCAATATGTTGACTTTGTAAACTGCTTAGAGAAGGCTGTAAAGCACTATGAAGCGGTATATAAGTCTAAATGCTAAGTGCTGTTGCTATTGAAATTTTAACATTAACAGGACTCTGGGTTTATGAAACCAAGAGCTTATGCAAAAATATGTAGTTATTAAGAACCCTTTGCTCTGTGAAGGAACTACCTGGGGAAGGATTTAATAATGATTGCTTAGATTACCTTTATTTTATTATTTTACTGTTACTATCACCTTGCTTACCTAATGTTTTCTATCTTGGCTTTTATGTTTGGTTTTTCTGTTTTAATTGATTTGCACGCTATTTTATTTGTATAAAATACAATTAAAATTAATTAATTTTAATTATCAATAAGGCCAATGAATAAATGAAAATATCAACAATTGCATTTTTAAAAAAGTTTTAAGGAAAGAATAGCTTTTTATTTGAGAGGAACAAAATATGACAATTGGTATTCAGTTGTGAAGCCATGAATTAACTGGCCAATAAGCTATGCAACTCTTAGCTACAGGAGTTCTGAAGTACTTAATGACAGATTTCTTCTTACTGAAATAAATGTTGTAACTAGTAATGAATAAACAGCATTGACCAATAATGAAAAACACAATCAGCATATTGAAATCAATTAACTTTACCTAAGTTGCTTTCCCTATATTTCAAATGAGAACTTGAGAAGTCAAGAAACTATTCTGGTTTAAAATCAATGAAGTCTTTGAATTGGGTCGACAAAGCTAATAACTTTTAATTTTGCAAACGAATACTTATGAATTCAAATTCACTCACCTGGCAGGGCCACCTGTTAAGGTGGCATCGATCACATGCTCATTATTGATACGGAACATGTAGATGCCTCGGTTCTGGAAAAACATGAAGAGAGAAATTATACAGCCTGTTTCATGTTTCCTTCATGCTTCACAGAGTTACCATCAATTTCAGCTGAATTTAGATTAACTGCTTTGATAGCACAAATGCTAGGGGACAAGCATGGAATCACTCTCTTTCGAAAAACTCTTAGCCTGACTTCATCCACATCCAGCACCAAAATATTTAGATTGAAATCTATTCATCCTTTGGCTGAAGAAACATCAATGTATGTTTAATGTGTACATGAAACTTGTGGTTGTAATCCACAATATCATGTAACCACATCACTTAGCGGTGGCACTCCCCATTGCCATAATTAAGCAAGGATTGTAGGTCATTGAATCAGTTCCAGGTGTCTTGCAAGACCCAGGTAGGTTCAGTACATGGTGGGTTGGGANCCCTCCCTGAAAATATTGCAACACAGCAGCAGCCACGAGGTGATCACACTTACTGCCTCCTGCACCTCAAAAATAATAAGACCTCCCTGAAAATAAGGCCAAGACACTGTCTTATTTTGGGGGAAACACAGTAGAGGAAGAATTCTGGCCCTGCTCTAAAACCCGCAACCAGCAAACTTATGACAACGATGCCCAAGCTGATCCCTACCCTGTGGTGAGGAATCTGTGAAGACCAAATCCTCCAAACCATGTTCCATCACTTGAACCACAAACTCTGGCCGGCCGTTGTTCTCGCAAATTGTGCAACGGTAGCAGCAACGCCGGTTGTTGGTCCGCAAACTCCAGTAGATGCGGGTGGCCTCATAGCCCACAGGGTAGAGTGCTGTGGCGCTGTGGAAGTCTGCCATTTGGTGGGGCAAGAGCTGCCCTATGGCGTGGAAGACCAGGCCTCCCACTCGGAACATGTGGAGGCGCTCCCCGCGCTGGATGATGCTGGCAATCTGCTTGACCTCGTCCCGCTCGATGTAAACCCGCCGGAAGACAGTAAAGGTGCTGAGCTCCTGGTCGCAGGGACCCTTGAGCTTGTGCATTGGGCACAGCATTGTCTTGTCCTTGAAGAACATGCACTTGGCACGGATAGCACAAGCAAAGTGATAGACGTTGGGGCAGCGGATACGGTTGCAGCTGTTAGTGGCACCGGTCTTCTGGCAAAGTGAGCATTTGGTGAGCAGGCCCCGGTGCAGTGCTACTTCCACGTTAATGAGGGCCCCACCCTGAGTCTCGTAAACCTCCGTGGACCAGAGGGCGCAGTTGAGGTGCACCCACAAGTCCAGATCAAGATTAAGGAGGCGGGCTGGACCATCCGTGGCCCCGTCTCCTTCCTCATGGCAAAAGCAGCACTTCCGTAAATCACGTGGCACTTTCTCGGGCCGAAGAGTGGTGGCCAAGCGCTCAATGAACTCCGCAATTTCCCTCTCCCCATCACGCTTGGTGCCACCCTTCTGAATGGTAATGAGGAAGCGCAATCGTTTCCATCGCACCCCTTTCCACTTTTTTAGCCTTGGCTTGCTCTCCTCACTCTCTTCCAGGGGCCTGGAGCGAGGCTTGGCCTTAGGGGGAGACTGAGGGGCTTCTTCTTTAGGGGATGGGGGTGGAGGGGAGGTCACAGGTGGAGGTGGTGCTTCTGGCTCAGGGGGCGGCTCAGGAATCTTGGGTGGGCTTGGTGGAGAGGGTGCAAATGGGGACAGAGGAGGAGACGGTTCTTCAGGAAGCGTTAAGAGTTGCCGGACATCCAGATTGGCAACGTTGTTGATGTAGCAGTGTTGAGCAGCTTTTTCTGGAACTGAAGTCTCCTAAAGGGGGGCGGGGGGGGGGAGGAAGAAACTTGTCAGGTACTAAGAACCAGAACAATTCTATGAGCTGATCAGAGTTGCTTCTTTATTAAAAGGTAAAGTTTCTCCTTGCATATATGTGCTAGTTGTTCCTGACTCTAGGGAGCAGTGCTCATCTCTGTTTCAAAGCTGAAGAGCCAGCACCGTCCAAAGACGTCTCCGTGGTCATGTGGCCGGCATGACTAAATGGCAAAGGTACACGGAATGCTGTTACCTCCCCACCAAAGGTGGTCCCTATTTCTCTACTTGCATTTTTAACGTGCTTTCGAACTGCTTTTTTATTGCTGCTTGACTATTTACAAGAATCTCCCCAGACTGACTACAATCTCTTGAGAACCATCAGATAAAGGCTTCAGGAATTCTAGAGGAGGGAAATGGGAGGTGGAGTCTGGCCTCTGTGGCTTCCTTCCCTGCAAGGACTCCAAGCTTGATAAGTTTTTTTCACTTTTCCTCCCATTCTAGCTAGAGATTCTACCACAAACATCTTTGAAAAAGAAGCAGACCCAAGTAAGACTACCAGCCAATTTGCTTGATAGTAGACATCCTACCAGGACAACATATGCTTTTAATATGAGCACTATTTCATCACACCAAAGCCTGTTGGCTATCAGAAATTTGATTTTCCCTTCTTTTTCTTCAGAATTTGGTTAAGAGAGATAGCTGGCTAGGGGAACTGACTGAGTGTCATGAAAAAAAGAGCGTGGGTGTCCTCAGACAGGAAATAGGAGTTCCACCCTGAAAGCAACAAAGTCTGAGAAAGATCATAAGTGCTACTTAAGGTAATCAACATCTTTTCTCAATGGGGTCCTTCTGCAAAAGATGAAATGTGGCTCTATTGTGGAGTATCATCTTCTTTCAAGATCTTTTTTTTTTCTAATTTGAGCAAAATATATATCAAAATATGAGGTTGTGGTGATAATCTGTAATCTATTCTTACATGAAAAAGGAAAAAGAATTATGGCAAAAGCATGAACAGAAGATGTTGGATAACCATTTGTTTGAAATGGTGTAGGGTTTCCTGTCCAGGCAGGGAGTTGGACTAGAAGACCTCCAAGGTCCCTTCCAACTCTGTTATTATATTCTATTCTTTCAAATAAGCTTATTGCAAGTAGTTAAAAACTGTTCAATAACAAATTAGATTTTTTTTAAAAAAAAAAGTCCTAGCTCCTCTTTTACCTGTTTCAGCAAAGTTAAGATGTCCAGTTCATTCTTGAGACTGTAGCCAGGCAACATGGCATCAAACTGTTTCAGCCACTCTGGTCCTCCTTCAGGGCCCTTTGAAACTACTGGCTTCTCTTTGCCTAAGGAGGTTGGGACAGAGAAACAGGGACCAATAAAAGACAGACTGGAAAAAATCAGGAAAAGATGTACTACCAAGAGGCCATCTTGACTGGAATACTCACTTTGTGCATCAGTTTCACCTTTCCTGGGTTCACCGGTGACATTTCGCTCTGGAAACAACACTTCATAAGAACTGGGAATCTTCATGCTCAAAAGCTCTGCCACCGCCACCATGACACCGTTCAGGTTCTGGAGAAGACGATGGGAATGGTCAGGAAAGTATTTTTGAGCAGACTGAGAAAGGGAACCCCCAAACCCTTTAGTGTAGTCTAATCACCAAATAAATATTGTTTGACGTATCCATAGTGCAGGTCATGGGATAGAAGAATGTCAGCACATTCTTGTCGATGTGGGGGACACATCAACCTGAACACCTACCAAGTGCTTGACAGCGGTTTAGTAATGAGACCCAGAAAAGAAGCAACAATAAAAGATGCTCAGACTCAAGATAAGCTGTTAGAATAGGTGATGGCTATGGCACAAAGCAAAACTAGAGACTTCTTGTATTTCTACCAAATGTGGAAAATTGATAACGGTACCCCAGTTGATAGGGCTCTGAGACAAACAAGGCAGATAAGTCATGATAAGTCATGTCCACTTCATGAGGACTTTATCCTGCCTAAAATATCTATACAGCAACTCTTGCCAACTCACGGCCTTCAAATATCTTGGACTTTAATTCCCAAGGCTCAAAAGATGACTTTTGGTGCTCACTCCATACCTTGGCAGCAGCTGCAGACACGGTGAGCATGACGGATACCTCACTCCCTTTGGCTCTCTCCCAGGAAGTGCCGGGTGTCTCCTTTCCCACTGGCTCCACGGTCCCATAGGATTTGGAATCTGGGAAAACTGAAGGGAAAAATGCAAAGGAAAAATAAAAAAGCTGTCAGAAGCTGCCACTCAAGCTCCTATTCCAGAAATTCAAACCACTTATCTAAAGTTAGGGTAATTCAGCGCTCAATCCGGAATCGTGTACCTGAATAGACTTGTCACAGATCAACCAATATAAATGCCGGCATTTTCCTGAAGGCATGGCTCCCAGTGTCAGACTGGGACCTTAGAAATTATGCAAAGCAGAAGGTCAGAGATGAAGTGGGGGATAACGACAGCAATGAGCAAGGGGAACTCAACATCTAGGAGACTTCATTCATCATGATCTCATTCACCTCATGTATTACACTTTACATGGGGCTGCCCTTGAAGACAACCTAGGAACTTCAACTAGCATACGATGCCTACAGAGTTGTTGCTTTACTATCATTTAACACTATCTTACTGCTGTAAGAGCTGCACTTATTGCTAGTATGCTTCTAGTTACAATTCAAAACATTGATTATTCCTTACCCTTTCAAGGGCCTGGCTCAGTGGTGAAATTCAAATTTTTTTACNGGCTAGACACCAAACCCAGGCAGAACATAAAACAAATGGCAGAAGCTATCTAAGATTGGGGATTGTGGAGTGAGTGAATTCATAGAATCTCTGAGATTGAATGGATGGCATTGTCAATATTTCTACTGCATGAGCAGTCCTTTCTCCTGATATTGAGTAAGACAAGTCTACCCTTAATTAGAGTGGCTGAGTGGGTAACTATTTGAATCTCACTGTCACCTTAATCTATCCCACAGGGTTGTCAGTATGGAAAAATAATAGAGGAGTGTTATGCAATCCTACCAGGGTTCCTGGAAAAACCATAGTATGAATGGAGAATAAGCCAGATTGTATTTCTGGGGCTGTGGGACTTTCTATGAGCTGTGGATCAACCCAGACACAAGAATGAGAGCATCTCTCAGAGAATGTAAAGTCCCTTTTGTGAGAACTAAAATAACACCAAAATTACATATTGTGTGGACTCCTCTGAAAAATGGGTAAAATAAGGTTTAAGGGGATAAAATATGCCTTAGTTTTAAGGCATCTTCAGTTTGCTACTGTCAAGAAAACATATAGTTTATTCAAAATTAATATTGTCCGCTTTACACTAATCCAAGTATGTTTTGTTAAATAAGACCGTGTGTCTTAGTAGACTTGTAATGGGAAGTTAGTCAATTTTGCTACCAAGTTCTCTGTTAATAGAGACTGGAGGACTTATGAATGAAGTTACTATGGTCCATAAAGACTATCAATCTTGCTAGTTATTTTTTCTTAGGGTTAGAATCTGAGCGGCCTATATCTAGTGATGGGTCACAGAGATAAATTTCAGAAGCTGCTAATCTACCACCTACTCTTACTTCACAGCTTTATTCCTGAAAAATGGCCAGAAAAATCCTAGAGGTGGTAGTTGTAGTCTTTTTTTTTGGGGGGGGGGGGGAGAGATTC